GGATATGTAAACTTATTTTCTAGAAAATCAACCAAACTTTATTTGATCAGGGGTATTCAAACTTTTTCATACAGCTATATATATATAGTTGCTTTAATTTACAACTACTGTAAAATGTAATGATGTGAATGAGAAAAGGCTAAACTACTCTATATGTCCAAAAGTTTGTAGACACCTGCTCATCCAGTGTTTCTTCCGAAATGAAGGGTATTAATAGTGAGTTTGTGCTGCAGTAACAGCCTCTAGTTTTCTGGAAAGGCTTACATCTACAGTAGATGTTGGAACATTGCTGTGAGGATTTGATTGAGCATTAATGAGATCAGGTACTGATGTTAGATGATCAGTTCTGGATCACAAACTCATCCCAAAAGTACTGGATGGAGCTCCATCACTCCAGATAACACAGTCACACTGCTCCACAGTCCAATTCTGGGGGCTTTATACCCCTCTAGTTGACGCTTTGCATCGGGCATGGTGACCTTAGGCTCATGTGCTGCTGCTCCAGATTGTCCGGTTCTATGGAGATTGTACATCTTGTATTTGAACACCTGTTCAAGCACCTTAAAGTAGCCGAATTATAATTAGATAAAGGGTGTAGAAGCTTTTGGACACATAGTGTATGAATGGCTGGAAACTCTGACAGACACAGAGAAACTAGAGACTTTTTGAAACTACCCTTTGTTTTCAATGTAATATAAATGACAGTATATAAGTGAATGTTGTTGATAATAGGTTTATATAATAGATAATTATTAAATACTAATGTAATAATAAGAGTTAATGTTTCATTCATCATTTTGTGGTAGACTGTTGTATCGTTTCTTTTATTTTTTTTTTTACTGTGTTTTATTGATTCAGAGTGCAAAGATGTGAACACAGTGGCATACTGCCCCCTGGTGCTCAGGTTCAAGTTCTGCAGCCGCCCATACTTCCGACAGATGTGCTGCAAGACCTGCCAAGGACACTGACCTCCTCTCTCCCTCTCTCCTCTCTTCTTCTCTTTCGCTCTGCCTGGGCCAACACCGCCCCAGCTCCACATTCCAGGGCAGAGACAGAGAGAGAGGGAGAGACAGAAAGAGAGAGGCAGAGCGAGATAGAGACTGTGCTGCTGTCTTCAACTCTCCAGTCCAGCTGCTCTGGCACGGCTGCTCTGAATATCGGACGGACAGAGATCCGTCTGCCTTTCTTCTAGCTCTCTTTAGCGTGGTGCTAGTCTTCTGTCAGCCATACTGCATACCAGGCTCCCTCAGATCCAGCCACAGAGGACCACAGCACCGCACACAGTGGTGTTTTTCCATGCTTTTTTTCCCAAAATACCTTATTCAATTCTTCAGATAATTATCAGGCCCTTTATACAGTGATTCTCAACCCTGCAGACTCCATGCACTGCATATTTTTGTGTTTTGTTTGGCGTAGAGTTTGAAGTAGGAATGATTTTCTGCGGTCTGCACAGAAAAAGACAAATCAAATTGGAATCAAGCCACTTTTTATATCTCTGTACACGCGACTCCGTTTGACCAGTTATGTGTATTTCTTCATTGCGCTGAGCTTCCTCACCTCAAAATCAGCAGCAGATTTTTGTCAATTCCTCTCTAATCATTTTACGCACACCAGCATAGTTACTATGATGACCAGTGTAGATGGGCAAGCCACAGACTGACTGTACAAACCTGATTAGGTCACTCATAACTTACAGTGGGAACACCAGAGGTGGGAGGTAATTAGTTGCATTCACTCGGTCACTAGTACTTCAGTTCAGTTTTGATGGATTTGTACTTTCACATGAAGGTACTTTTACTTATACTCAAGTATACAGTCGTATGCAAAAGTTTGGGCGCCCCTTGGCAAAGAACATGTTCTGTTGATTTTCTAGGTGAAAGTAAGTTAACAGTGTTTCTCAACCCGGTCCTGAAGGCCTGGATGGTCCACATTTTTGCTTTTAACTTAACTTACAACACATATGGATGTGGACCGTTTGAGGACCAGGTTGGGAAACCCTGAGTTAACACATCCTCCACAGCAGGGGTGTCAACTCAACCACTTAAAGGGCCATATCAGAAAATCTCATCAAATCTGTGGACCAGAGAAAAAAAAAAATTCTAATGATTGTCGTGCTGTAACCCAAACTGGCTATTGTTTATTCAAAATATGCAGAAACTTCAACAGCAAAATACAGACACTTTTAGTAGACCTTGAAATATTACATGAATACTTGAAATATTCAAAGTTTAAACGTCTCCAGGTGCTCAGTCTTTTAAACCTACCTATCTGCTTGAACTACACGCCTGGCATCCTTTCTTTACTGCAGGTTCATTAAGACTTGGGCTCAGTTTCTGAGCTGCTGAGCTGCATTAAGTGTTTATATTGGTTGAACTGCAGCTGAAATGCAGTTAGTGTGTTTGGTGATATGACTGGTGTTGAATTGCATAGAATTGAGGTGTAACCACCGTCCCATAGACTGTTGTTGGAGCCAGAGTGCACATTACATTGCAATGCATGCTGGGGCACGTAGTTCCGCACATTGTGAAACAATCTAATATTAACAGAAAATTTAATTACTTTTGCGGCCGGATAGGATTGTGTTGCGGGTCTGATCTGGCCTGCAGGCCCTGTGGTTGACAGAATTAGCAGAATTACTGTTTATTTGCTGATTTTAACATACTGGGAATAAAAACGTGCAAATATTATGGCACATTTTATATGTTGTCTTAAACTCTGTTGAAATTGTTTAGTTAAACTCTGCAAATAAACTGAAATTGTGCACTAAAATTTGCAGGCGAATGCCATTTAAGTGTGTTCTATGTAGAGGATGTGTTAACTTATTTTCCCTTAGAAAATCAACAAAACGTCATTTGAGCAGGAGTGTTCAAACATACAACTGTGTTCATGAAGAAAGTCTGCACTTTTAAAAGTAAAGATTCTTGAGCAATGATTCTTGAGTGATGTCATCAAAGAACTACAAGAAGCTTTGAACTGAAAAAACAAAGACGTAATTAGGATGTACTACTTCCTAACGTAATTAGGAAGAACCATTTTTGGTTCTTAAAGAAACACTTTTTGTAAATGAGATGTGTTCTATAGACTCTTGGATAGAACACATCTCATTTACAAAAAGTGTTTCTTTAAGAACCAAAAATGGTTCTTCTGTGGCATTGTTCCTTTATTTTTAAGAGTGCATTTTTCACTCTTTTTGACATTTAATTATTCATTTCATTCTGTTACCTTGGTGACAGCATCTGTACTGGTTTGTGATGGGTCACCGCTTATATTGGAGCTTAAGCATTTTATGTTAGACCACAAGAGATCCAGATAGAGAAGAATAAACCCTAACTTCAGTTCTATGCTCACAGAGACTGGATGTACCAAGTAGCTCCACTGCAGGTCTATAAGTTACTCAGTACTTAAGTAGTTTTTGAGCTCATGTGTTTGTACCTCCACTCAAGTAGTTCATTGAAAAGGTGCTTTATTTCACTGAAGTAACAATACTTTTACTTGAGTATTTGCCTCTGGTGAACAGTCAGTCTAAAAATCTGATTTGATCAAGTCTGATTTGTGTAAACGAAGCCTAGCGCTCCTGATTCAACTCATGAGGAAAGTGTCAACCTGTTCACGAACTAAGGCTGTGTTCACATTACAAGGTTGAATACGAAATCAGATTTTTTGCCAGAGTGTGAAACAAATAGGATTTTTTTTTTTTGGAAGTGTGAACATTAATCTGTGCAAATCAGCCTTGAGCCACATTCATATATGCATGTCTGATGTCACTGTGGTCATATTGTTGAGTGTACTGGGACTCCAAGGCTCATATTTAAGGGAAAGTCCAACAAATTTTTCAAAATTTCTGCATAATGCAGTTTTTGAGATGTAAACAAAGTCATGGTTTGGTGTGAAATAGTTTATTGTACAGAAACTTACTTACCAGTGAACCTATACGTTTTGAGTTTTATATGTATAGTAGTAAAATAAAAAAGGTAAAATAGTGGTAAATCTAAAAAAACATGTCTTTGGGGGCTTTTTCCTTACAACACCCTGCATGTCCCCCCTCTGCCATGATTCACTTTAAAAAAAAAAATACATTTTAGACTAAAACCTTCTCAAAACTATCATAAATCAATGTCTCAGACACCAGACAGCATGCATTTCATATAATAACTTTCTGTGAGGGAGCTTTTAAAAGCATTAAACTCTTCAGACGTCTGGTTCCGATCACCACCACCACTGTGTACGATTCTTCGAAAATTTCCCAAAAGTGGCTCATTTCAGATCAAACCACTCCGAATGACTTTGTTTACTTTGTCTAAACCGTTTAATCATGCAGACATTTAGAAAAATGAGTGGAGCTCCACTTTAAGGACTGCTTAGGTTAGTAGTTGTTGGTGCTTTGTTGAAGTGTGCAGTGCTGCGTCAGTCCGTGGCTGGATTTGAGGACACTACACTGATTATCCTCATCTGTTCACTGTTGAAAACTCTTTTCTCACCGAAATGTTCCTGGTTCTAACTCATAAAGGCTGTTTTGCTGTCTGTGATAAGATCACCTCTTACCATGTCGAAACTGACAAGTGACGAATATTTAATTCATGTTCTTTCATTTTATAATCTTATCGTTTTAATTACAGCCTTGGAGATGTTGTGGATTGTTCAGTGTCATAAGCTTCATAATTGTGTTAGTCCTTTTTCTCATACTGTATAATCTGTTTTTCTGACTATACTGTGGTTCTGGGTGGTTTACTTGCCGTCGTCTTGCCTTTTGGCCCGGTGTTGATATAGAAGGGAAGTCGATGAGGCAATGCTGTTGATGTAGTTAGCGTAAGCGCCACTGATATTGCTATTGAGATTGGTACAGCTGGAGACTGATAATGAGTTGTTCAGACTTAATCTCGGCCGTCGTCAGCGTTCAGAGCGTTTTATTTTGTTTAGAAGCAGGTGTGGACAAAGTACAAAGCCTCTGTAATTGAGCACAAGTAGAAATAGTACATTTAAATTGATTTTGGCAATACAGACACCTTGACATTGATAATGAATCCTAAATAAAGCTTTTCTCAATCTCAAATGTAATAACATTTCACACCAAAAGTAGGCGTGGCTTAAACCTGACGTTAATAGCATGCATGAGTGTTATTTATGCAGCCTAGATTTTGAAGCAAGCCTTCTTATTGGCTCATAGACGTGATATTTGTACAAAAATACTTACTTTTAACAGTGCTTAAGCATCGAATGTAAAAGTGCTGTCAGTTACTGTAGCTATAATATAGTTAAAGGGGAATCCACCCATTTTTTAAACACTTCTGCATAATTTGGTGGTTTGGAGTCATTCAGAGTGATTTGATGTTAAATAATTCATTGTAGAGACTCAAATTTCTTTACAGTGGTGGTGATAGGAACCAGCGGTCACCATGTCTACAACACAAATACAGCCATTTTATTTGCTGTCCTAAACCACCAGTGAACCTACACGTGTCTGCTGCGTTTTTTTATGTGGATGATGGTAAATTTGAAAAAATAAAAAGTAAAAAAAATAGTTTTTGGAGGGCTATTTTGCCTCATAACACCCTCCATGTACCCTCTACCATGAGATGATTTTAAAAATATATGTTATGTAAAAAAATGGTCAAAACTATCATAAAACAATGTAATAATATTCTTTGAGGGAGCTTTTAGAGGCGTAAAACTCTACAGACGTCTGGTTCCCATCACCACCACAGTGAATAATTCTGACTGTAAGTTTCTCTAGAATGGAGTGTTTCAAATGAAACCACTCTGAATGACTTTGTTTACATCTTAGCCATTTAATTATGCACATATTTTGAAAAATTGGTGGAATTCTCCTTTAATGTGTTACATTATTTTGAAAAAACTGTTTCTATGAATGAGACCTATAGCTGCCAACGTATGAAACTGACTTAGGTCTGCTGAGTTTCACTCTGCTTTTGCTCGAGTAATATCTTGCCACGACTATTTCGACTTTTACTCAAGTACAGTAAGTTTTGCACCCAAAAGAGCAATGAACAAAAGAAAGAGGTCGGTTTGAATTTAAAAGATGACATTGGCCAAAAATGATGAGTGGTTCGGATGTGTGAAATCTAGTTAGCGTGACCTCATTTGGGGTGAAGAGGACAGATTCATTTTGGTGACAGCCAGGCTGGTGTGAATAAAACCAACACAGCAGTGAATCAGCCACACCATCCTGTTCAATCTTCCTTTGTTCAGTCACAGAATGATGTGCACATGTAGGCAGTGCTTTCACATTGAATCAGCTTATCTGACATAAGCGTCTGTTGTGACTTACCGTATCCTGGCTCATTTATCAGATCAGTGACTTTATATCACCGAGGCAGATCGCTCATCGGTGCCATCAAATGTCATTAGTAGCGGATTATGAGCAATCAACCTTTAAAGCACTGATCAGTTAGGATTATCTTAGGCCTCGTCCTCACATACCTGGATATTTTTGAAAACTCAGCTTTCTGACGCTCATGATTCTAATGGTATATGACTTCATGATCATTAAGTAAGTCAGATTTGAAAAAATCTTAACTCTATAATTCAAATGGAGGAGAAAGCTAGAAAAACTCAGCTTCTCTGCCTCGACTGTGTGGACAGTTCAGAGACGGGGGCGTATATTAACAACCCCACGGCAGCAAGTGGTAGGCCTTTTTTTCTCTTTTTAAGCTTTTATTTTCTGGCAGTAATCGGATGTTAAGTATGTGTGAGATACTGGATTATGGAGGTCTGAAGGTCAAAGCCTGCAGTGTTTGGAAAACTTTGTTGAAAAATCTCTGCTTCAACTTTGCTGCAGTGCACACGGGTTCTTCTTGAGGCATATAACGTCAATTTATTCGCTCTCTACAATGCTAGAATGCTCATGTGAGTGCTTTTGAGCTGTTTTTGCGTTCACGTGTGGATTTTCAAAAGCTGTGGGTGTGGGTGAGGATTTTTTTGAAAACAGAAAAAAATATGGGCCTCATTTACCAATATCTTAATAAGTTTTTTCTTAAACGTGTTCTTGAGAAAAGTCCTAAGAAAAAGTGTGTGCAGATTCTGTTCTAACCTAAGAACAAATCCTAAATAAGAAAACATTGGTGAACATCACAGTCTTCGTGGAAACTGCGTATGTGGGTTTAACGAAAATATTTAGTCTTAAGAACGGTTGGTGAATGAGGCCCTATGTTTTTAAAAATATTCAGATAGACGTGTGGACGAGCCCTTAGTTTCCTTAGTACTTTTCGGACGGGGTTGGCGTTACACAAGGAGATGCAATAATCTAATCTGCGATAATTACATATAATCCCACATCTGTAAAGATTACGGAAGCTTTTGCCTGTGCTAAAATGAACAGCAGAAACAAACCCAGGTTATATCAGTCAAATGTTGGCAAATATTGTCTAGAGGCCTATTAAGTGTAGAGGCACTTCACAAAGCATTTACTCGTTTTCTCAGCAGACTAATTCAAGCTGATTGAAGGCATTATTATTTGCCGAATAATATTGAAGCCTATAATACAACAAAAACAAGGATGCACAGTGGCCTGACTCAAAGCACTATCAAATAGTGCCCTCTTGTGGAGGAACTTCAGCCTGATAAACATGAGTTACGTAGTTACGTGTCAGAACCATCGCATAGAAGGCAACCCCCTGTAGATGGAATATATGTGGCGATTTTGATGGTCGGCTTTCAAACTGATGTTGATGCTGATGCCGCGTCGCATTCACTAAAGAGAGAAATTCCGATTCAAATAAAGCTTCACACATTGTGCACAGAATGTTTTTGGTGTGCCAGCGAGGCGTAAATCGAGGGTTCACTCTAGTCTCTGTAATTTATACACAGATTTCATATCCTGTGCAAACCAGACATAAACATTACAGCCATTCTGTGATAGCATAACTTCACAGATATAGAGTAGTGTGAAAAAGTCTCAGAAAATTATATGAATAAAACTGGTAATGCTTCAGTATGGGGGACATTATAATACCCTTGTGTTGCCCTTATTAAGCCTTAACAAACCAGTCATTGGTCATTAAAAGGCTGGTAGATTGGTGATTAACATTATTAAGCAATATCTAAGGAGAACT